CTGTCCCTTGTGGAAGTACAGGCCATCCTTAAATTGTAGATGCAAATTAACAGGAGGTGGGATATTGTCCATGGCTTCTTTTATCTGAGTTACAAGATCCGTTTGCAGAAGTAGAAAGTTTTGGCAAGATCATATCAGGTTCTGACTGAACAACTGGGTCAGGAAACATGCGGGAGAAGACGAAGATGGAAGACGAAGCGTGAGAAAAATAGTGCCCACCTAGCTTGTCGTGGCCTTAGTCGTTTTGCAGTTCTCAGTTACTCTAGATTCTTGTGGTCCGTAAAGATAAGAATAGGATGGGCTGCTCCCTCTAGTAAATAGCGCCATTTTTCTAATGCTGCTTTGATGGCTATTAATTCCCTGTCTCCCACATCATAATTTCTCTCAGAGACGTTCAATTTCCGGGAGAAGAAAGCGACAGGATGCAGAAGGGATTTGGGCCCCTGCCTTTGTGACAAGATGGCTCCTACCACGTTTTCTGAAGCATCAACTTCAAGGATGAAGGCTAGGACAGGGTCAGGGTGTTTCAGGATGGGTGCGGTTGTGAACATGATCTTTAGCTGCTCAAAGGCTGTTTGGGCCTCAGGAGTCCATTTGAAGGGCACATGTTGCCTGGTGAGCTGTCGCTGGCGCTAGGATTCCAGAGAAGTCCTTGATAAACTTCCTATAGAAGTTTGCGAAGCCTATAAAGCGCTAAACAGCTTTCCTATCTTCAGGGACGGCCATTCCAAGATGGCAGACACCTTCTGAGGGTCCATGGAGATGCCTTCCGGAGTGATCACCAACCCGAGGAATTGGATAGATTATTTCTCGAACTCGCATTTTTCAGCTTTTGCATAGAGGTGGTGTTGGAGTAGTCTCTCCAGTGTCTTTTTTACATAGTCACGATGACTTTCGATGGAACAAGAAAAAAACCAAGATATCATCCAGATACACGATTAAAAATAAATCCAGGTAGTCCCGAAAAACATCGTTTACCAGGTGTTGGAAGGTTGCTGGGGTGTTGCAGAGACCAAAGGGCATTACCAGATACTCAAAGTGCCCGAATCTGGTTCGGAAGGCTGTCTTCCATTCCTCTCCCTGCAGAATTCTTACTAGATTGTAAGCACCCCTCAGATCCAACTTTGAGAAAAAGCATGCTCCTTGCAATCTTTGGAACAACTTGGGGATCAGAGGAAGAGGATAACGGTTTTTGACCGTGATCTTGTTCAAATTCCGATAATCTATACAAGGTCTGAAAGTGCCATCCTTCTTCTCCACGAAGAATATGCCGGCTCCTGCTGGTGAAGTAGATGGCCGAATAAACTCTTTTTCTAGGCTTTCATCTATATATCCCCGGAGGACCTTTAGTTCGACTTCGGACAGAGGGTAAATCCTACCGAAAGAAATTTCGGCGGCAGGCAGGAGCTCAATTGGATAATCATAAGGATGATGTGGAGGAAGGGTGTTGGCACTCTTCTTATTGAACACATCCAGGTATTCGTGGTAAACCGTAGGGACAAGCTTCAGGGTTTCAGGGTCAGAATGAATACTGAGCAGAGGGGTTGTCCCACCTGTCTCTTTGAGGGTGCAGTGACTCTGACAATATTCAGAAGGGAAAGAGATCTCTCCGGTCAACCAATTGATGGTTGGATTATGTGCTTTTAACCAAGGCATACCGAGGATAATTGGAAAAATCGGGGAAGTGATAATGTCCAGACATAGGAATTCTTGGTGTCCCAACCGAGCATAGCAAAATATCGGCAAGGTTTCTTGTGTTACTGGACCGGAACTAATACCAGACCTGTCCGCCAGATGAACTGCAAGTCTCTGTGTGCTCTTTAAATGTGCTCTTTAAATAGCCCGCCCTCGCCGACAGGCGTGCCTGGGTCCTAGTGCCTGCCCGGTGCCGTCATTGGTGACAGGCGTGCCTTGTTCCTAGTGCCCGCCTGCCTGTATGCCTTGTCGGGATCCTGCGCAGATTCATGCGCTGCAGCGATCTTCTTGTTCCCTGATACCAACCGACAACTACATCCATTCAAAACTTCCTAGCTACCACCAATCTTCCTCGACTCACACCATCTCAACTCACATCTCTTTCCATACCGATTTCTCCTGTAGAAGTAGAACAAAATATAAAAACCTTCCCTCTTAACAAATCGCCAGGAAATGACGGTTTCACAAACAAATTCTATAAAACATTTGCACCCAATCTCACCCCGCATTTATCTGTTCTATTTAATCATGCTGCCTCTACAGGTGAATTCTCTACCGAAATGCTACAATCGATAATCACAAATATCCCAAAGCCGGGTAAAGATCCCCAATTGGTCCAGAACTACAGACCAATCTCACTGCTGGACACAGATATAAAACTATACACCAAAATAATTGCCCAAAGATTGCTCCCCAACTTACTTACACTAATCCACCCAGACCAAGCGGGAGTTATCCCTGGTCGACAAGCACCAGATGCAACCAGATGAATCATATCCCTCCTATACAAACTTGAATCCACTAGCCAACCCTCATTACTCTTATCTCTAGATGCTGAAAAAGCATTTGACCGAATTCACTGGCAATTCATGAAACTCACACTTCAAAAATTTGGAATTACAGATTGGATGTTATTGGCAATCCTGTCCCTCTACTCCAACCCTTCTGCCAAAGTTCTAACTAACGGCACAGTTTCACAACCCTTCCACATATCTAACGGCACTAGACAGGGCTGCCCCCTATCCCCCATAATTTTTACCTTACTCATCGAACCGTTAGCATTTAAACTTAGAGATGAACCAACATTCACGGGAATTACTCACCCTAAAAAAGAACACAAAATAAGCCTTTTTGCAGACGATATCATCCTAATGATCACCAATCCCTATAAATCGCTCCAATCAATACGTACACATCTCCATAACTATGCAGAAGTCTCTTTACTATAAACTCAATGAACCCAAATCCTCTATCTTAAATCGCTACACACCCGCTAAGATCCAGAATATGCTGACTAAACATTTCCCTTTCTCTTGGGAACACCACAGCATCCCTTATTTGGGGATCAAACTCACCACTACAACTAAACAACTATATGCTGCCAACCACAAACTGCTACTCGAAACCATCCCACAAGAACCTAAAAATCTACATACATCAACTCTGTCGACAATGGGAAGAGTACCAACTTTAAAAATGTGCATATTACCCAAAATACTTTATATATTCCGCACGCTCCCCATTCCCGTTCCTAGCACCTTTTTTTCCAAACTCCAAGCAGTATTAGCCAAATTCATCTGGGACTCAAAAAAACCTAGATGCACTACAAACCTCCTAATATGCCCAGCCTCTAGAGGAGGAGCGGGTCTCCCGCACTTAAAATCATACTACAATGCCACCCTTCTAGACCAGCTCTTTTTCTGGTGGCACCCTACTAATGAAAAAACATGGACCACCATGGAAACTCTTCCACACCTACCGCACACACTTGATAAAATGCTGTTCCTACCTCAAACATTTCAAACCCAACTTCTACCCAAACATCCTTGTATACAAGCCTCCTTACACACCTGGTATTACCTCTTAACTTCCAACCAGTCAGATATAGATACTAAACAAATCCCTACACCAGTTTCCACTTTACACTTCATCACTCCCTCTCTAAACACAATGGGAGAATCGAGGCATATCTCATATTCAAGACATATACACAAACCACAAATTAGACTCCTTTTCCACTCTCCAGAAGAAATTCCACCTCCCTGACAAGGAAAACTTTACCTACATGCGAATAGCTCACTCTCTACACAAAATAAATATACCACTCGAACTGACAATTCCTGCTATTGCATACCACTTCTATCATAAGACACAATATTCAAAGAAAGGAATTTCGACCTTCTATACGCTTATAACCAAAGCACAGTTTACCCTTCACACTATCTCCCTAACCAATTGGGAGAAAATCCTCCTTCAACCAATACGCCCACACACCTGGGAAAGAACCTTCACTATCACTCACAAAGCCTGTGAGTATTTAGTGGTATTTAACACCTGTTAAACTCGCCTTATATTACTCTTAACACTCACCTGCATGTTGGAGACAATGCGGAAAAACAGGATCAACTCTTCATTTACTCTGGAAATGTAAATCCCTCAAATCCTACTGGAACAGAGTCTTCCAACTGATCTTCTCAATCACTGGAGTCCCAGTGACCCCCAACCCCGCTCTCGCTCTCCTACAAATTGGAATAGATAAATTCCCTACAGACTCACGTACCATCATTATTCACACATTAGCAGCTGCTAAAATCAGTATTACTAAATTATGGAAATCCACCAAAACTCCCTCTCTTTCAGCTCTTATATCCGACCTTAACCTCCAATGTGAGATGGAAAGGAGAACAGCCTTCCATAATTCCTCCTACCATAAATTCAAATTCCAATGGTCTCTATGGTTACAATACCCTAATTGTTCCATAAAATGATAACTATAGAATAATACCACACTATGACCTATACACCTGACTGGTGCCCTCTACCCTCCCCCCCTGCCCCTTCCCCAATATTTACCTCACTTCCACCCAAGCACGGTTCACACCATACCAAGCATACCTCTCATGTGAACATGACTTAAGTCTACAGTTTCCCCAGCCAATTGGTGGGGACCTCTCTTATATCTACCGACTGTTATAATTGATTATGAACCTCCTTCATGTTAATGTTAATGTACATTAATCTGTATGTTAAAAATCTTTCAATAAAAATATTTGAATATAATTAAAGGGTTGTTGGGCAAGGTTTTTGTGTCATCTTTTTGCTGATGACACAAAGGTGTGCAATATGGTTGATATCCTTGGAGGTGTCTGTAACATAGAACATGATTTTTGACATTGCTGAAAGATTGGTCAAACAGTGGAAACTGCAGTTAAGTGTTTCTAAATGTGAAATAATGCACCTAGAGAAAAAGAATCCATTGACAGAGTACAACATTGGGGGGTACAGTGCTGAACATCACTACAGAGCAGGGGCGGACTGACCATTTGGAAACTCGGGCACTGCCCGAGGGCCCGGGGTCAGTAGGGGGCCCCATGAGATGCCCCTGGTATCTTTTTCATAGGCTTTTTTGAGTTTGGGCAAGGACACAGGGGCCCCATGATCCCCTATTGCCCGGGGGCCCCATGAGTTGTCAGTCCACCCCTGCTACAGAGGAAACTGATTTGGGAGTACTTATCTCAGATTATTGCAAAATGAGCAAACAGTGTGGTCAGGCAGTGGGAAAAGCAAACAGAATTCTAGGATGCATCACTAGAGGGGTCACCAGCAGGAGGAAGGAAGCCCTGATTCCCCAATACTGATCTTTAGTTCAACTTAATTTAGAATATGGTGTCCAGTTCTAGAGACCTCACTTACAAAAAGAGTCTAGAGACGGGAAACAAAAATGGTGAAAGGTCTGAGTGATACAACATAGCAGGAGTAACTTCAGGAACTTAAAAGAGAAGTATGGGTTACATTTTTATGCATAATCTGAATCTTGGTGAACTGCTACTATGGAAAATGATTTTCTGCTTTCTGAAATGTACACCCTTTCTTCTGAAATCAAAGAAAACAACCGTAGGAGGGGCTGAGGTCTCTAATACAGTGTCATCCCGACATTGAAGTTGGTATCCACCACCCTCTTATAACTGTTATCGGCTCCAGACAGTCTGCACGCTCCCAAGATGTCAGCAGAGCTTCAGTTCTTCTCACACTTCCCACTTCTCACCCCTCCCATCCAGGCTGTTGAGTTTCTTCACAAACAGGCAGCTTCTCTCCCCCTACTCCCCCCTCCCATCAAGGTTGTTCTGAGTCAGAGTTTCACTTACAGACATGCAGCTGCTTTCTCCTTCCCCCTTCCTTCCCCCTTCCTTCCCCTTCCAATCCAGGCTGAGCTCTTACTGCCGAACTTTATCAGTTCTCTTTGCAGAGTGAAGCAGAGAAACAGCTAAAGGACATTTATTCATTCTTTTCTTGTACAGTACAGTCTCCTGGAGTGCAAATCCCTCAGCATATTGTTATGTGTCTCTGTTTCTTGCTGACAGTGTGAAGTCATGGAAACAGAGGCACATGACAGGCAGGCATGTTCCAGCTTCTATCTCTGTGAGGAAAGCTTGGTCACAGCTGAGAGCTGAAGGAGGAAAGGATGAGGGGGGCGGCTCACTCTAGATGTAACCACCCACTCCAAACTTTCAAACCTGAAGAGGACCGTTACTCAGCCCTATATAGGGCTTGGGATGGGGATACATCAAAAATGGAGCAACATAGGAAAGAAAGAAAAGTTGTCCTGTGGTAAGGGTAGTTAATGCTATCTATTTGTACTACCCCATACTTCTCCTTTAATATGTACAGTCTGGAGAAAAGAAGGGAAAGGGGAGAAACAATTGAAACCTTTAAAGTGGTTGTAAAGACTAAAGGTTATTTTACCTTCATGAATTCTATGCATAAAGGTAAAAAACCTTCTGTGTACAGCAGCTCTCCCAGCCCCCTCAATACTTACCTGAGATCCAGCTATGTGCATGACAGAATCGGCTTGCTGTCTTGGGCCTCTGCCTCCTCATTGGCTGAGACAGCAAGCGGGAGCCATTGGCTTCCACTGCTGTCAATCACAGCCAGTCAGCCAATGAGGAGAGAGAGAGGGCAGGGCAAGCCACGGCTCCGTGTGAGTATGGACAGATGGAACAGCAGGTGCCCCCATAGCAAGCTGCTTGCTATGGGGGTACCCAACAGGAGGAGCCAGGAGAGCCTGTGGGGAACCCGAGAAGAAGAGGATCCAGGCTGCTCTATGCAACACCACTGCACACAGCAGGTAAGTATAGACATGTTAGTTATTTAAAAAAAAAAAAAATTAACCTTTAGTATCGCTTTAAATACATCAAGGGGGGGAATAAAGTTCAAGAGGGCAGGAAGCCAAGATCAAGAACAGACCTTAAACTAACTGGAGGAATGTTTAAAACTAATCTTAGAAAGTATTATTTTACTGAAAGGGTATTTGATGCTTGCAGCAAACCTCCAGCAGAGATAGTGAGTCAGTCAACAGTAAGTGATTTCAAACATGTTTGGGACAAACATAGATCTCTACTGAGACAAAAAAATTAACAAGAAAGACAAAAAACAAACAAATAAAAACATAACAAACAAAAACCAAACAAAATATTTTTGAATTACAGGAAAAAAAAGGGCAGACTCGATGGCCCACATGGTCTTTTTTTCTGCCATCAATCTTCTATGTTTCTGTGGCAAGGTTGAATAAAGACACCAGTCCATCCAGTTGAACCAATTTCATATTTTGTTGTATTATGAGGATAACTACAAAGATTAATCAGAACAGTAATATTTTGTCGTGTATACAAGCAAAAACAAATTCTATCCAAATATTATACTACAGAATGATAGTGTATGTGTACTTGTACAATTAACCACTTTCCAACCGGGCTATAGCTGCAAGACAGCTGCAGCATGATTGGCTGGTTCTGGGAGGACGTCTATTGACGTCCTCCCAGAACCAACCCCCCCCCCCCCCCCGCTCACCCCCCAGGCACGGGCATCGGGAGTGCTCTGTGATCACTGTGTCCTTCATGACACAGCTGATCACAAACAGAGGTAAAGGGTCAATCACAGCAGTCCTTAACCACATGATCAACTGTGTCCATTTACAGCTGAACACAGTGTAAATAGACTTGCCGATTATTGGCAGTCTTCTCCTCATGCACTGTGACAGCATGAGGAGAAGAGAGCTGGTAATGACGGGGACATCTATACTGATACTCAGGGCACTGATCATCAGTGCCCTGATTATCAATGCAGCCCCATAAGTGCCAATCAGTGCCCATCAGTGTTGCCTATAAGTGCTTGGCTGTTCCTCAGCTAATTTCAAGCCTCCTAGACAGCTGTTTCTGTTTCAGTTAGTGACTGTATTTCAACCTACATATGTGTAGCGCTATCCTCATAAGGGCCACTGAGTTTGGTTTGTTGAGCTGCTTTTTAGTTGTTTTTATTAAGGAGTTAACAATTTGGATGGGGTCTAGGGGTATATTGGATGCCCAAGGAACTGTAGAACTCGAGGACAAACTTCTTAGCAACCATATACAAAAAGGGTGGACTGGCAAAAATAAAGCACTGTCACGTTTTGGGGGTACATGCTTAGACCCCAAATGATTCCTCCTCTTCACCCAACTGTGCTGAGGGTATACCTGAGCAAGGGGGTCCCAAGAGCTTTCAGTTAAGCAGTCCCATTTTAAGACTAGTTGGGTATTGCACCTGACTGTCCTTCTTCCTTATCCGGCCCAGGGGATGTAGGAGTACTCACACTCTCCTGTCCTGTGAGCATGGTGGGTTGGTAGCTGCTTTCAGGCCTTTCACTGGGCTGGCTCCTTCCCTGCTGCTCAGGATGTCCTCCCCAGGAGACTTTAGGCAGTGGAGATCCTCCTGTCCATCAACCAGCCTGTAGATAGGCTCCTTTCCCTGGGGCCCCCTCACAGGCTTCACACTCCAGCCTTTCTCACAGTCTTTCTTCAACCTGACCCCCCTTCCTCCCAAGGCCCTGTGATATTTTAGGGTTGCCCTGGTCACCATGCCCAGCCTCCTGCCAGAGTATTGGTCAGAGTCCCTCAAACATGCAGATATGGGCCTCCTCCCCTCCTCCACCCCTGTTCCAGAAAGTTCTCACATTTCTGGAAAGGTGGAAGAGCTCCAGAAGCCCTGACCTGTAGAACCTGCCAGCCTCTCCTGAGGTGAACACACTACCTCACTCCCAGGCTGACTCCTCCCAGGCTGATACTCCGCCACTATCTAACAAAAAAGCCTATCTAGCTAACCTGGAGGGCATTACATCCACCCCCTGCTACAAAACAGCCATGTCCTCACTGGCTGGGGAACAATAATAGCTTCTGAGCCCAGGAGCAGGGAATCCCATATAAAAAAAAATGGAGGGGAAAAGGGAACAAACTTGGAAGGGGGTAATTAAAAGTAAATAATTGAGTAAAAAAATAAAATATGTACACTTTACATATTTATACATATGCAAACATTAACATACAGTATGTACATCCTGACTACAGCTCCCTGTAGCTGACAGCAGGAAAAGAAACACAAACACATAGCAAGGTATGTACACAGTGCATTCAAATGAATATGAAGCACTTTCCCCTTAAGGGAAACCCTTCATAGGAATAATAAGTCTTCTTGTTCTTGAGCAGGTGAGACAGCCCTCCTCAGGTACCTGAAGAACAGGGGAAAAACAACAACAACAACAAAAAAGCATCAAGGTCCTAGGTTTAACTAGCCAACTGACTAGATAGGCACTTTAATAAATGTCCTTTATGTAAAGAACATAAGGAGGAGCCCCTCCCAATAAGGTGATTGTGCTAGGCGGCATCCCAGCTTTACTTGTTCAAATATTTTATTAAATATCAGAATTGGTGGTTACAGATCTTCGTAAGTATATAAACTCAACGGGAGATAACCACATTACAGTAGTAACTCAAAGAGTGCCAGGAAGGCGGTTGTATATGTTGGGGATGCAACCCCTAACATTATGAACAAAAATAGTATCAGTATTCATGAAAAGAGTACAAAGTAGACAGGTTTATACATTTAAAATGTGTAGTGCAGCACTATAAAAATCTAAAAACATATGGATAAGATGCAAATGCCTGAGGCTAAAAGTCACAAAAAGATGGCCAGTATAGCATAGAATAAAATAACAAAATGGTGACAAGTAATGTCCGTATCCAATGTGAAATAATATATCCCAACAAACATGCACTATGTATGACAAAAATGCAACAATATTAAATGTCCAATAAGTGATGGGAGTGGTGTTGGTACAGGAAAATGATAGGTTGAACAGGTGACTTCTTTACTCCCAGTGACACATGTGATCCGGTGATGTGCAGGGAAAAACGGTACAATTGCACACTCACCAGAGGCGCAATATAAATGCGCATTTACATCAAATAAACCAGAGTTCCCCTCTGTACTGGGAAGGATGCAGCCTGGAGTGGATACTTCTTCTGTGGATAATGGTTATGGAAAGACACTTCTAGAGGTCCCCTTTAAAGCTGGCTGCGGTGGTGGTCTGCTTTTAAATTTTTCTCCTCTGGGCCCTGGGATGGTCACCTGGGGATCCTGGGGGATTAAGTGCTCGGTGTGGAGCAAAAAATAGTACCCATAGTGTAGTAATTATTCGTAAAATTGAATTTATTATAATAGATTTAAAATAGCAAACGAACACACTTAGGTAAAAAATATATATATTTCCATGGGCAAAGGTAAATCCTTAGAAAATAGGTGTCAGGAATGGACTGGCCAGCAATGGTGGGACTCACCTGCTTTTTGATCTGCAGTACCAGGGCTGGCCAGCGGGTGCTCCCAGCAATCAGAGACTCAACCTTTCAGCCAGCTAACACCTGGAACTGATTATACTGGTGTATTTAAGGGATGGCCAGACCTGCAGACTCTGCCTTGGTGTTGTGTTTGTCCTGGGCCCTGTATCTGGCCTGCATCCTGTTTCTGTTCCTTTGCTGACCCTGCCTGATCTGAACCGCTGCTGACGTCTCCTGCTCTGATCCCGGCTCGCTCCTGACCATCCCTCTGCCTGACCCTCTGTACCACGCTGCTTGCTACCTGTTCTGATCCCTGGCTTGTGACCCTGACCATCCCTCTGCCTGACCCTCTGTACTACGCTGCTTGCTACCTGCTGAACCTGGCCTGTGACCCCGACCCATCTCCGCTTGCTCCCCCTGTACCTACCTGCCCTATTGATATTGACCCTGCCTGCCTGACGACGCTTGCTTGTATGTACTGTTATCTGTGGGTGGTTGGTTTGGTTTGTTTGCACTGTATTATGTTTTAGTATTGCACTGCGTTTATGTTTGTATTGTTAGTGTTAATAAATTATATTGTTTATCACATATCTGAAGTCTGCGTTTCCCTGCGTCAGTCACACACCTCTGGTCACACCCCCTGGAGCCCTGACATTACACCAAGGCCAATCCTGACCAGAAGTGGCTGCACAGGGAAGCCATCTTGGTTTGTTGATGGGAAGGATGGATCTGGATGAGGTTGCGTATTTATATCTGCTTGTGTTTGATGATGACAGAGAGTATGCTTATCAAACTCTGAAGGAGTATCCCCGGATGAACTGCTAGAATGTATACGGCTCGCTCATGTTCTAGTAGATCAGGGCACAGAGTTCTCTGAGGTGCAACCTTTGATTCAGGTTTGTGCGGAGTTGGTTTCATCTGGTACCCCTGAATGCAGGGATGATTTTTTGCCACCATTTAGTGCCGACCAGGTAGAGTCCCTGGTATGGTTATTAGAGGATGATGTGGATTCCTTTTTGGAGCGTTATTCTACATGTTCACCACAGGTACTAAGAGATTGTATAAACGCAGTGCAGTCTTTGGTCAGACAGGGTTTGTGTAAGCTCAGCGTTGTTCAACCCACACTGCTGCAGACATGGACAGACTTGTTGCACCCAGCCTCAGTCAGCTTACAAAGACCCAGTCCTGCTTCTAATCTATTTCCTCAAAGCTCTATTCCTGCATTCCCAACAGCTCCTCCTGCCCTGCTATCTACCGCATGTCAGTCCCCTGTTCCCACTCGCTGCACCTATCCTGCCTTTAACCCTGTAAAGAAGTCCTCTGTAGCAACTGTTCCCTCCCCCTGTTCCATCCTCCAGCTCTTCTCTGTCTCCAGCTGCTCCATTCGTTTGCAGACCTGCGTTTACTTGCAGTGCTCCAGTAGTTAAAACCAGAAAAAAGCGAAAATTCTTTCCAACCAATACCATCATGCCAGTATCCAAACCGGTGAGCCTGCCGTCTGAGAACCTGCCTTCCGTGGTTCAGCCTGGTGCCTCTACTCAGCCTGGTGCCTCTACTCAGCCTGGTGCCTCTACTCAGCCTGGTGCCTCTACTCAGCCTGGTGCCTCCACTCAGCCTGATGAACTGATCCAGCCTGATGATCCTATTAGGCCAGTTGACTCGATACCCGCTGTTGATCCAGACGATCCGGTACCTGATCCAGTGCCCGCTGTCGTGCCAATTGACTCAGAGCCCGCTGTCGTACCTGGTGACTCGGTGCCCACTGCCTTGCCAGATGACGCGGTGCCCGCTGGCGAGCCAAATGACCTGATGCCTGGTGACCCAGTGCCCGCTGTCATACCTGGTGACCCGATGTCCGCTGTCAAGCCAGACGATCCAATGCCTGGTGACCCGGTGCCCGCTGTCGTGCCAATTGACTCAGAGCCCGCTGTCGTACCTGGGGACTTGGTGCCCACTGCCTTGCCAGATGACGCGGTGCCTGCTGGCGAGCCAAATGACCTGATGCCTGGTGACCCAGTGCCCGCTGTCATACCTGCTGACCCGATGCCCGCTGTCCAGAGCCAGACGACCCGATCCAATGCCTGGTGACCCGGTGCCCACTGCCTTGCCAGATGACGCGGTGCCCGCTGGCAAGCCAAATGACCTGATGCCTGGTGACCCAATGCCCGCTGTCCAGCCAGACGATTCAATGCCTGCCCCAGTGCCCGCGGTCATGCCAGTTGACTCGGAGCCCACTGCCTTGCCAGATGATGCGGTGCTCGCTGTCGAGCCAAATGACTTGATGCCTGGTGACCCGATGCCCGCTGTCCAGTCAGACGATCCAATGTCTGACCCAGTGCCCGCGGTCATACCAGTTGACTCGGAGCCCACTGCCTTGCCAGATGACGCGGTGCCCGCTGTCGAGCCAAATGACCTGATGCCTGGTGACCCGATGCCCGCTGTCCAGCCAGACGATCCAATGTCTGACCCAGTGCCAGCGGTCATGCCAGTTGACTCGGAGCCCACTGCCTTGCCAGATGATGCGGTGCTCGCTGTCGAGCCAAATGACTTGATGCCTGGTGACCCGATGCCCGCTGTCCAGTCAGACGATCCAATGTCTGACCCAGTGCCCGCGGTCATACCAGTTGACTCGGAGCCCACTGCCTTGCCAGATGACGCGGTGCCCGCTGTCGAGCCAAATGACCTGATGCCTGGTGACCCGATGCCCGCTGTCCAGCCAGACGATCCAATGTCTGACCCAGTGCCAGCGGTCATGCCAGTTGACTCGGAGCCCACTGTCGTGCCTGGTGACTCGGTGCCCGCCGCTTCGCCTGGGGGCCCGAGACCTGTCGCTCCGCCTGAGGGCCCGAGACCTGTCGCTCCACCTGGGGGTCCGGCGCCCGCCGCTCCGCCTGAGGGCCCGAGACCTGTCGCTCCACCTTGGGGTCCGGCGCCCGCCGCTCCCGCTTGAGGGCCCGAGACCTGTCGCTCCCGCCTGGGGGTCTGGCGCCCACCGCTCTGCCTGGGGGCCCGATGCCTGTCACCCCGCCTGGGGGCCCGATGCCTGTCGCCCCGCCTAGGGGCCCGATGCCTGTCGCCCCCCGCCTGGGGGCCCGATGCCTGTCGCCCCTCCTGGGGGCCCGGCGCCCGCCGCTCCGCCTGGGGGCCTGGCGCCCCCCGCTCCGCCGGGGGGGCCCGATGCCTGTCGCCCCGCCTGGGGGCCCGATGCCTGTCGCCCCGCCGCCTGGGGGCCCGATGCCTGTCGCCCCCCCTGGGGGCCCGATGCCTGTCGCCCCGCCTGGGGGCCCGATGCCTGTCGCCCCGCCTGGGGGCTCGGTGCCTGTCGCCCCGCCTGGTGGCTCGGTGCCTGCTGCTCCGCCTGGTGGCTCGGTGCCTGCTGCTCCGCCTGGTGGCTCGGTGCCTGCTGCTCCGCCTGGTGGTAATCCGATGTGCCTCTGCCCGGAGTCCAGCCCGATGTGCCTCTGCCCGGAGTCCTGCCCGATGTGCCTCTGCCCGCAGTCCAGCCCGATGTGCCTCTGCCCGATGTGCCTCTGCCCGATGTGCCTCTGCCCGGAGTCCAGCCCGATGTGCCTCTGTCCGGAGTCCAGCCTGATGTGCCTCTGCCCGATGTGCCTCTGCCCGGAGTCCTGCCCGATGTGCCTCTGCCCGGAGTCCAGCCCGGTGTGCCTCTGCCCGGTGTGCCTCTGCCCAATGTGCCTCTGCCCGGAGTCCAGCCCGATGTGCCTCTGCCCGATGTGCCTCTGCCCGATGTGCCTCTGCCCGGTGCCGCTACCCGGAGTCCTGCCCGGTGTGCCAGTCTTTGATATCCCGCCAGTTACCAGACCCGGGCGGTGGAACATTTTGCCCAGCTAGGACTGTTTGGAGCGTCCTGAGGCCGCTCCTTGAGGGGGGGTTACTGTCAGGAATGGACTGGCCAGCAATGGTGGGACTCACCTGCTTTTTGATCTGCAGTACCAGGGCTGGCCAGCGGGTGCTCCCAGCAATCAGAGACTCAACCTTTCAGCCAACTAACACCTGGAACTGATTATACTGGTGTATTTAAGGGATGGCCAGACCTGCAGACTCTGCCTTGGTGTTGTGTTTGTCCTGGGCCCTGTATCTGGCCTGCATCCTGTTTCTGTTCCTTTGCTGACCCTGCCTGATCTGAACCGCTGCTGACTTCTCCTGCTCTGATCCCGGCTCGCTCCTGACCATCCCTCTGCCTGACCCTCTGTACCACGCTGCTTGCTACCTGTTCTGATCCCTGGCTTGTGACCCTGACCATCCCTCTGCCTGACCCTCTGTACTACGCTGCTTGCTACCTGCTGAACCTGGCCTGTGACCCCGACCCACCCATCTCCGCTTGCTCCCCCTGTACCTACCTGCCCTATTGATATTGACCCTGCCTGCCTGACGACGCTTGCTTGTATGTACTGTTATCTGTGGGTGGTTGGTTTGGTTTGTTTGCACTGTATTATGTTTTAGTATTGCACTGCGTTTATGTTTGTATTGTTAGTGTTAATAAATTATATTGTTTATCACATATCTGAAGTCTGCGTTTCCCTGCGTCAGTCACACACCTCTGGTTACACCCGGGAGCCCTGACAATAGGTATATGCAGCATAAAGCTGCTCTGTGCACTGACCAGCTGGATAACAAAGATGGCCACCGGACCTCCGTGATACGGCGGTGTGACGTCACGGCATGCAGGGCTCCTCCTTAACGCGTTTTGTAACACACGTACTTTCTCAAAAGGGGTGTGCGCCATAGCAGCCAGACGTCAATGTAGTTCTATTTATAGCAAGGACGCTTGTGCCAATTAAGCCAGCACCATCTTGCCAGTGGTCAGCATGAGGTGTGCATGCGCAGAACCACGGACGCCATTTTCCTGTGGATTGTTGCATAAGGTAAACAGGGAAAAACCAGCAGCACACAATACAACCATGAGAGGAGAGTGAGGATGAATAATAGCACGGCAATATAATATATGCATGATCCTACAATAAAGCCAATAATATAAAAGATATAAGAGTGTGGAAATGTGATCGATGATCTCCTTAAACTGCGCATGCGTGGGGACCACAAGCGCCATTTTCTTGTGGATCTCCTGCCCGGAGATACTTACAAGCCTTGTTATCCACAAAACAAGAAGAAAGGATAACTTAATAAATTAATGTGGTGACTTGATAGAGAGATAGATAATAAAATCAAATAATGGTGGCAATCTTAATGTAGTAATATACATCTTAGCAATCACCATTTTAAAGTGCGCATGTGCCAAAAAGAGACGCCATTTTACCGAGGACCAATTTAATAGATGAGTAATGAAAAGACGCCATTTTACAGTGGACCAATTTAATAGATGAGTAATGATCCGATGTTAATTATCGGGTGGATGTATCCTAATGTACAGTTGCAAGAAAAAGTATGTGAACCCCTTGGGATTACGTGGAGTTTTGCCCAATTCATGCTAAACTCCACGTAATCCCAAGGGGTTCACATACTTTTCCTTGCAACTGTATAGCCCGATGACATATAAAAACTTTAATAATGCATCATGCTAGAATGTAGATACAATTTATAATTATATGTAATTGTAAATAAAAATGAATGATTAGGAATATATAAAAAAAAAATGTAAAAATGTATATAAAAAATTGTATATAAAATTTTTTTGTATATATATAAAAAATTGTATATAAGAAATTACATATAAAAAAAATTATAAATAAAATGGGGTGCCATTGGCTGTTTGATGTTGTAAAAAACATTATAACAATACATGATGTCTTATAATAAGACCAATAAGTAAAAAGCATCCATGATCAAATGTATGGAAATCATAACATCACATAAAATAAAAGGTAAAACCAAACAAAAACCCACACTACAAATTAGAATAGATAAACTAGAAACATAAGATACCTGCAAGATAAAAAATGGTAAGAATTGATAAACAATTAAATAATAAAAATATATAGAAATAATATAGACCAGGATAACTAAAAACGACCAAAATAAATATAAAAGGTAAAAACGACTAGCAATGGGTAAGTAAAGCAAAGGAACATGCAGCATATTGGAAAATGTCAAAATGGATACACGAGACATTAGCTGTTGTCTATAAAACAGTTTATATCTACTTCCACATTATGACCAGAAGGGGTTAAAGTTCTCATCTCGTAAATCCATCTGGTTTCCACCTGCGAGACAAGTCTACATTTATTGGTACCATGCCAATGACTCTGGATGATGTCAATGCCTGTGAATTTTAGAGTTGATGGGTCTCTATTATGATGATACCTGAAATGTTTTGAGAGCGAATGCTCCTTGAAACCTTTTTTGATGTTATTGACATGCTCCCTAAACCTGTCCCTGAGCCTCCTTGTGGTACGGCCAATATATTGCTTTTTACATAGGCACTCTAAGAGGTACACCGCATATTGGCTGTTACAGGTTATAAATGTTGAAATATCGTATTTCTTCCCGGTCTTGGAAGACGTAAACGATTCAACTTTCCTTTTGTTCGACCCATTTTGTCTGCATATAATGCACTTATTGCATGGGTAAAAGCCATTCATATTTGCAAAAAATGTAGCTCTAGGGGGAGGATCTGTAATGTTTGGTGAAATCTTATCCCTAAGCGTAGGAGCCTTTCTAAACACAATTTCTGGTTTGTCTGGCAAGGCTCTGGATAGGACAGGGTCAGCTTTAAGGATATCGCAGTTTTTCTTTATCATGTTGCTAACTGTTTTATGTTGTATGGAAAGAGATGTGACAAAAGGGCAAAATTTGCTATCTTTACGTGTAGTAGAATCAGACAACATAGAATCACGATTCATGTTTGCCACATTGTCTATCTCTGCGTCAAGTATTTCTTTATTGTATCCTTTTTCTACAAATCTTTGCTTCAGGATAGCAGCTTTGTTTCTTCTCACCCTCATGAACTGGCCCTTAGGTATGTTAGCTAGCCATGAGGGGTGGTGGCAGCTATCCACTGGGATGTAGCTGTTCCTGTCTTTGCTCTTAAAAAAGGCTTCTGATGTCAAATAACCTCCTTTATTCACTATTTTCACTAACGTTATGTCTAGAAAGTTAATTTCAGTAGTGCTGTAAATAAATGAGAGTTGAATATTCAAGTTATTGTTATTCATTGAATACAAGGAAATTAACTAGTACCTCTTCATCACCTTGCCACAGGAGGAGGATGTCATCAATATATCTTTTGTAGAACAAGAGTTCTGGCCATTCCCTAGAGCAGTGGTCGGCAAGCCGCGGCTCGCGAGCCACATGCGGCTCTTTACACAGTTTAATGCGGCTCTTCTGTGTGCCAGGCGCCCGCTCCCCTCCCTCCTCTCGGGCGGCCGCCCCAAAAGCCAGGACTCTGCAGCTAGCCCAGCAATGGGCAAACTACAGCCTGGCGGACCTTTTAATCCGGCCCGCGGAGCGTGGCAAACATTGGCTGTCAGGATGTAGGCGGGGCAGCGTGACAAACTCCTCTCCTCTCACAGTCCGCCCTGAAGACCGGAACGGCGCGGGAACACGGCGAGAGGAACGTGCGGAGCAAAGGTAAGTGAATTGACACAATATGGGGAATGAATTACTATAGGGGGAATGAATTACTATAGGGGGGATGAATTACTATATGGGGGATGAATTACTATGGGGGATGAATTACTATAGGGGGGATGAATTACTATGGGGGATGAATTACTATATGGGGGATTAATTACTATGGGGGATGAATTACTATATGGGGGATGAATTACTATGGGGGATGAATTACTATATGGGGGATGAATTACTATGGGGGATGAATTAATATATGGGGGATGAATTACTATGGGGGGGATGAATTACTATAGGGGGGATGAATTACTATATGGGGGATGAATTACTATGGGGGATGAATTACTATATGGGGGATGAATTACTATGGGGGATGAATTACTATATGGGGGATGAATTACTATGGGGGATGAATTACTATATGGGGGATGAATTACTATGGGGGATGAATTACTATATGGGGGATGAAT